CATTCAGTGATGGCACCATGGGAATAAAGATGTGCATCTATAACTAGTCATTTGAAAGCAAATACATAGTATCCACAATTAATGTCACACATTTGTTAAAATGTTATTTGAAATAGGAAGGTTATTTGTTTAGCTTATGAAGTATGAAGACCTTGAAGTAATTTTTAAGAAGCTACTAAGACACTCAAAGCAGCCATTTAAATCTTTTGAGCAAGTAAAACTTTGTCAGCTGTGGGCCTGATCCAAACCCAACTGGAGTCAAAGCTTCCTGTGATTTCAGTAGGCTTTGGATCAAACCCTACAGGACTACAAAGAAACACACTTCAGAAAGCAGTGACACCTAACGGCAAATGTGTCCTTGGAAGACAACAAGCCATAATCTATACCAGAGAAAATATGTCCTTATTAGATGTAATTAATGCTAAAAATATATTATAGGGACCCAAAATAGTGTAATCGTGCTAAACTCTTGGAAGAGAATTTCAGCAATAATTCATATAAATAAAGTATGTTGTATACAATATATTTTGGGGACTCATAGCTATTAATAAAATATACTTGCTACTAAACATATGCTATGCGCTTCATGTCTTTATAGCATTCTTAAAAAAAAAAAAACCATATCCTGATAAATTCTAGCGAAGTGTGGAACAGAAAACGGAAGGCTTTTTTGGTCTACTGAAATAGTAATTTTCTTCTATTTATGTGCATGCTTATTTCCTATATCATATGAAACCGATTTCCATAAATATAACACCTTTATGGGACCACAATGCTAGGGCTTTTGATGTACAGCTTATCATTGTTAGAAATATGACCATAGTATATAAGCTCCTTGTGGTGCCACATATTTTTTATATTAAGCAAATCCTAAAATGTGAATGTTTATAATCATACTAGTTTTCTCACTCCTCCTGTCCCCACCTTTTGGGGAGGGGGTATTTGAAGGTTATCACAAGATCTTAACAGAAAAAAGCTACATCTTCACTGAATATCATTTGTGTCTCTATTATTAAACATTTATCTTACATTAGTGTCTACATTGGCTGAACCAGGTTAGGATCCCGCTGTGCACTTGACTTCGCTGTTGATAGTCCCTGCTGCAAAGATCTTGCAGTACAGTATAAGAGCTCTGGTTCATTTTTGTTTTTATACATTTCTGTTACTTAAGAATTGTGTGTCTTGAAAGGGTTTTTTAAACTTGCTGCTTGATATGGAGAAAGTTAGGAGCAGCACACTACTGGGTCTTATTGGGTGATGAGAGCGATACAGTAGAAGGTAACCTTGACTTCATTTGCATACTATAATCTTACTGGTTAAAGTACTGCTACAGCTGTACTGCATTTTTCTTTGAAATGATTATGATATTTTACACCTGTGCTCTTACATGATAAAGACATGTTACTTGACCTAGAGAGCTTTGCTTTATCTGATACAGGTACAGGCACATCTTTGTGTATGCATGAAGAAAATAAACATACATGTGCATATTCACGTTACTGATGCACAAATTACAAAATGTAAGACTTTTGGCAGAAGATATGAACCTTACACAAACCATGCTGTGGACTAGAAATGCCACCTAATCCCTGCTTAATTAAAGGCACTGTTCTAAACTCCTGTTGTATTTAGGGAGTAAAGAGTGTGGGACGACTGATGTATGAAGAAAATAGCAGGCAGCGTGGCTAATCTCAAAGACTTTGGAGCTTTCCAGCTACATAAATCAGAGCGACTTTTTGAATAGCCTCATAAAACACAAGATCATTGCCATTCCACTCACGGATTTCCAGTGCTTCCTACAGCATACAGATCATTAGGAAACTTCTAAGCAATCAAGTAATGTGAGCCTGATGAAATTACTCAATCAATGCATGGGCTCAGAGAAGCAACATAATACAGAACTGCATAATTTTGACATGTCATATCCCCTTCTTTCTCATATAGAATACGGTTAATTACAATGAAGGTGAGCCTTTTCCACATTTTCACAAGAATGTTTAAGTTTTTCTTAAGTGCCAGCTCCTAATTATGATACTGAGCCAGCAGAAACATTGACTATGGGCAGCCCTCTCAATAGTCAGAGAAACATATTTTGGAAAATACACTGATTTGCCCTAAAATAATCAGGAAATACAACAGGAACAATTAAAAAAGTGTTAGTTTGGAAGAGAAAAATGAATCAGTATTCCATAATGCAAAG